TGTCCCACTCCTGGTCCTCCCACTGCACCTCAGAGGCTGCTTGGACCCTGTTCCCAAACCCATCCCACTTTCTTCCTCCATAACCCATCTGACCTGCACCAGCAAGGGCTTTATCATGGTGTCCACACGCCCCTGGGCTGGCACCACGGGCATCTCGTTGCCGCAGAGTTCATTTGAGCTGAGGGCCTCGGTGCTGCAGGTGATGTTCAGATGCAAGCGAGGTTATTCAGTCCCCATGGAGCCTCCCAGCCCACACCACATCCCCACAGGCTTGCATCAGCCCCGGGGCTTTGTGTGGGGCTGGCTGGATTGGGATGGGGGTCACCAGGTTGAGGAGCAGTGCTGGGAGACAATGGAGAGGGTGAGAATGGAGTGGAGGAGACCTTCCCAGGTGGGACTGCATTTGCTCCCATTCTCCCTGCCCACCCCAGCCTTCGAGAGGGTCCCCAAGCAGCAGGGCAGGGAGGTCCTGCCATGGCCCTGGTGTCCTGTACCCAGGTTGGTGGCTCGCACGCCCCAGCGGAAGGTCCTCGCTTCGTCTGCGCAGATGCAACCACCATACACCTCGTCTGCGCTCGCTGACACCTCCAGCTCTGCCGACTCCCCCAGAGTCACCTGAACCTGCAGGACCATGGCCATGGCTCCATCAGCCCCCAGCAGACCCCAGACCCAGGGTCTCCTCCCCAGCCTCACTCACCCGCAGGCATTGCTGCAGGTAGTTGAAGACGGTGGCCACCAGAGTGAAGGCTTCGTGGCGGACCACGGCGTAGGGCAGGGCCAGCTCCACAAAGAAAGGCTTGAAGGCTGTGAGGGTGGTGACAGGGGCCAGCCCCAAGCCCTGTGGTGCCATGCAGAACATCCCAGCTTTCCACTCGGTGATGGCATCTGGCACTGTCAATGCCACCTCTGCAGAGCCCCCGTCCCTGCGGGATGGAGAACATCATGAAGCCAACCCACCATGTGTCATCCCCAGCTGGGCTGGCTCTCCCCCTATGGGAGAAGGAGCCATCCTGAGGTGAGGAAAGGACCTGCCCCATGAGGATCTTCATCGCTCACCCCACAGGGACCAGGTCCCACAACCATGTCTCTGGGAAATATGTCCTGGGTGCTGGTGGCTCTTCCTGGACAGCGACTTCAGGGACAACATTTCGCATGAGCACTGGGAAGTCCATATCTTTCCGCATATAGGAGATTGGGTAACCAATGTCCCCTGGAAAAGGCAGAGCAGAAATTAGTGTCCCCAGGTCTGGGCATCTCAGCTGGACCTCACCTGCAGGAAGCCTGAAGGTGGCCAAATTCCTTTTCAATCCCTTTGATGCCAAGTGGATTTTCAAGGATGGCTCCAATCCCCCTGAGGACACGGGAGCCAGGACTGGCCACCAGCTCTTTGTTCTTTTCTCCTGAGAGGGCTCAGTGGGGTGAACCAAGCTGAGGATGGTGCTGACCTGGGGGACCTGCCATCCCAGGAAGGCCGAACCTCTCTTTGCAAACATCTCTGGTCTTGGCATTGGTGAAAAGTTTCAGTGCTGCTTTCTGCGGAAAAGAAAAGAGGTTGTCCATCTCCAAAACCCAGCAGGAGGAACATCCCCGTTCCAGCAGTAAACAGAGGGCTGCAGAAGAAGGTAAGTGGAGAAGGACCAGAATCTGGGGTCCATGAGAAAAGGAAAGACCTTTGCCATGAGTGTGGCTTTCATGGGACATTGCTGTGCTTTCCTGGCACCCTGAGCAAACCACAGCCAGCTCCTGGATGAAGAGGAACCAGGAGGTCCAAGAGGGCAGGGCCTTTACCTGAAATATCTTGTAGGTGTCCATCTGGGACTTCCTCCAAAAAGGGTAAGGTAAGTGGTATCTCCTTAGAGGGCGGAAGAATCGTCGCTGTCTTGGAGCAAACGGGATGGTGGGAATTTCAAAATCCCAAGGAAATTCTGAACAGGGTGATGGGTCTCGAATGCTTCCAGGGTAGTCGAATTCAGGGAGTACTTTGTAGATCTGGGAACAGACATGTGTGCTAGGTACAAAAACCACCTACCCCTGCTCAGGAGCCATCATGGCATGGAGTCCCCATAGGGGAGGTCCAAGCCAATGTCATCTCTTCCTTGCCTCATCTCTGAGGGGTTCCTGGGGCTGCAGAAGGGTCTCTGGGCAGTGCCACCACTCACCGCCTCCGTGTTGAGCTCAGCCTCGGGCTTCAAGAGCAGCACGCTGCGGTCCACGGCACGGACAGCGCACAGGGATCCCGGGGCAGCCTCCAGCTCCAGCCACAGCGCCGAGCCGGGCAGAGCCCTGTCCTCTGAAAATGCCATCTTCACCTTGGGAGGGGCAGAGGTGTCAGGGGACAAGGGCAGGAGGGGGAACCACCTCCTGTGGAGGAGGAGAAGGAGGACCAAGCCATGGACATGGAGGTCTCTTCTAGACAAGGATAAAATCAGGCTTGAGGGTTTGGGGATGAGGGCAACTGTGACACATCTGGAGCAGGATGGACCTGAGGGTGTGCAGCTATGGACAAGCCATGGAGCAAATCCCTCATTTCCAGCCACCTCGTCTCACCTTGTTGAGGAAACACTTGGCCACCTTGAGCTCAGTGCTGTCAGCCACCATCTCGCTGTTGGGCAGCACCACGTAGCCCAGCACCTTGGCCGTGGGTGCCAGCTGGGGGCTGATGGGCAGCTCCAGGGAGAAGGAGCCTTTCACCCCTGGACCATGGGGAAGGAGGAGAGATGAGGACCAGGTATGGAGAGCAGAGCCCTGCACAACCCATCCATGCCATGGGACCTACCAGCCTCTGCAGGCAGCTCTTTCCTGAAGATGGTGGCAATGGTCCCCTTGGCCAAGACCTGCAGAGGAGGAGATGGGAACAACAAAACTGATGCTTTGTGTGGAACCACAATGCCCTGATGGAGGATAGACCCAAGGGCAAGAGTGTTGGGATGGCTTTTGACCTTGCCCAGTTTCCAGTCCCCCCTAATGTCTCCCATTAACGTGCAGGTCCAGCAGTACCAGCAAACACCTCAACTAACAGTGTAGGTATCTCAGTCTACCCAGGACATACTGCTCATTGCCTTGTCCTCAGGGACACAACCACAAATGCGTGTGTAGATGTGGACTTTCACACACAACCACCCTGGGCTGGGGCTCACCAGGAAGATCACATCCAGGCTCCCCAGCTCAGTCCCCAAGGCCTCCTTGCTGAAGATATAGTCCACCCAGAGCTGCTGGGACTGACCACAGGGCAGCTCTCTCTCCAGCCGGTGGATCTGCAGGAAGCTCCTGCTCTCTGAAAAGAAGGGGCGGGTGTACACGTGGGCGTTTTGGTAGGTGGGTATGGAGCCGTCGTTCTGGGTGTGAGCTGACTCATTAACTTGACCCTAAGAGATGGAGATAAAAATCAGGGTGGTGAAGCTGTCCAACAGCCCACGAGGCGCTGGTCCCACCTGATGAAGGCTTGGAGAGATGCCCAGCCCTACTGGAGAAAGCAGCATGAGGGGTGGAAGACAGGTCACTTACATCCAAGGAGATTGTGCCACTCCATCCAGAGGTGTCCAGCTCAAAGGAAGCTCTCCCTGATGTGTCTGTCAGGAAGGTCTGGCTCGTGTCCTTTCCTTGCTGGCTAACGATGAGCAAGAGCTGCTTCTGCGGCAGCGTGGCACCATTGACTCCCTTCAGCAGCATCTGCACCAGGAGGGCAGGGGAGATGCCACAGGTTGGGCTGCAGCCATGGGGCAGAGGGCAGGGGTGAGAGAGCAGAGTTGGGTGTCTATGGGACAGGGACTGGGTGCAGGGGAACCCTGTGGGGTGTGGGGACACCCCCCCATTACCGTCCCGGTGTAGGGGATGCCGGGCTTGTAGAACTCATTGGTGTTTTCGAAGGTAACGGTGAAGATTTCAGGTGAGATGTCACAGCTCTTGGTGTTTTTCAGCTCCAGCCCTGTGGAGAGAGAGTGGGGAGCTGAGGGTGTCGCAGGGACACAGGTGCTGCCAGCTCCCCTGTCACGGGGCAGAAAAGGTCCCTGGACATTTTAGGCTTTCCCTCTGCAGCCAGCAGCTTCGAGCACAGTTTGCATCTTCTACAAGGGGAACAAAATGTCTACAGCACCTTTTAGCCCTAGGTGCAGCTGGCTTCAGAAAAGGTTCTTCACCGATGCACCATGATGCAGGGTCACCTTGGTGCTGGTGGGCATGGAGACAACCCCTGATCTTATTTTTTTTGCAAAGCCAAGCCACTGGCAGTCATTTCTGGTGTGACTGAGGTGGTGGGTGAGGGATTCACTGGAAGGATGAAGCCACACCACCAGACCGGGTGAAACCATGGCTTTGCATTGCAAGGAGTCAACTAGCTGCTAGCTGTAGTGTTGGAAGAGTTGTGGGTCTTGGAAAGGTGTTTTTGCCTCTTGACCATTTATCTGGTCAGAATTTGGGAAGAAATTCTTTGGTGTGAGGGTGGTGAGACAGTGTCCCAGGTTGGGCAGAGAAGCTGTGGCTGCTCCTCCCTGGAAGTGTTCTCGGCCAGGCTGGATGAGGCTTTGAGCAACCTGGTCTAGTGGAAGGTGTCCCTGCTGCTGGCAGGGGGGTTGGGACTGGATGAGCTTTAAGGTCCCTTCCAACCCACCCAAACCATTCGATGGTTCTATGGTTCTATAATTAGAAGGATGGCCTGGCTGACCTGGCTCACAGCCCCACCTGGACCTGGTCCCTGCACACGTGTCCCTAAATCACAACATTGCTTCCTGTGGGCTTCCCTGGAGGACATCAATACCCCGGTGCCATGTGCACTTGGGTGAACATGGGGATAAACTCAAAACCATGAACCAGCAGCAATGCTCGTTCCCAAGCAGGAGAACACTGACATCCCTACCTGTCCCATCCTCCACCAGCGATGCCTGGACTTGGAATTGCTTCCGATACATGGAGCTGGTCAGGTTGAAGTTTGTCAACAAAACCTCTGTTGAAAAGCAGCCGTTCTTCTCAGTCTGGAGGGAAAGCAGTCCCAGCAAGGGGGACCATTAGCAGCAGTCCCAGCAAGGGGTTGTCCCAGCAGCACCCATGGTCCCCAGCCATGCTCACCTGCCCACCAACCTCGATGCAGTTTGTTGATTTCTGGAGGCCACTGTGAAGGTTGTACAGGATCCCAGTGTGCCTGAAGGGCTGGCACAAGGTGGCCTGGACCTTCCCCTGGACAGGCTTCCCATAGGTGTACCTGTTGGGTGGAAGGTGGTGAGGATGTGCCTGATGGGCAACGTCATGTCAGATCCCACCATCCCATCCCATCCCATCCCATCCCATCCCATCCCTTTTCCTGGTGCAGCCTGTTTCAAGCTCACCGTCCACAAATGTCCATCTGGAACTTCTCATCCTTCTCCAGCACTATGGTGGGGAGATCGATGGTTATCTCGAACTTGGGCAGCACTGATGGAGAAGGAAAAGGAGAGAGGGTTGTCAGTCCTAGGACAGGAACAACGGTGCCTGGGTGGCCAAGACATGCTGCCCATAGGGACATGTCGAGGTGGGGCTCCTACACCCAATGCAGCTCCTGGTCCCCACGTACCATATTCCTCCACACTGAAGGCGT